TGCTGGTGAATCCTCTTGCTTGCTCCTGACATGCTCAAAGGGAAGATAATTTGAATCTTGTAGCACCAAGACAAAGATATCCCTTCAGGGCTCATGGATGAGGCAGCTATAACAACTCTTATTTCATGATCTCAGCTGTGTCTCCTTTAAAATGTGTGCTGGGGAACCAGGTGAGATTCAGCTGGAATTAGGGTGACTTTCTCTGACTTGAAATTGGGAAAACCTGGAACCAAAAGCAATGGAGGAAACTGTCCTCCTGCCAGACATCAGCTAAATATTCAAAGATCTCACTGTCATTGTTGAGTGACTTCCTGTCACTAGAGTGGAGTGTGAGAGTGCAAAAAGACTCGCTGATCAGGTGGACAAAGGGAACTGACTTATTTCTCACAGAAGCTGCTGCAGAATAACTGGAGACAGGTGGAAGCAGTTAAAAAAAGAATAAAATCAGTTTGGACAATAAGACTCTGCAGTCCAAAAAGTCAAAAACTCTGGGCAAGCCCCAAGGGCACCCATTAGAACATAAGGTACCTCCTTCAGAACACTAAAGGTGGTCCCTAGGGGAAAACTACTTACAACATGGATGGAAAAGTTGAGTGATAGGATCATAGAGGGTCCTCTTCAACAGAGAGTGAGGAACCCTGATGAGGCACCGGAACACAGGCAGAGCATCCTCCAGCACTGATCTCTACTCCGGCTTGAGTGGGAGCAGTTATACAGCTGGAACAAGTTGAAAAGCTGGCACTAGGCTCTAGATCCATTAGCAGGGATGAATGTAACAATAATTTGCAACTCTCTGGTTCAAATCCTGCCCCAGTGCGATCTCTACCAGTGCAGGCTTTGCATCTCAGCTCAGACTGCAAACAGCCCTCCCAGGGAAGGTGCCCTTTGTAGCAGCAGGCAAAGGAGCCCTTTGTTTCTGTGGTGGTGGAGCCCCAGGTGGTTTTGAACCCTTCCTTCCTAGAGCAGAACCCAACCTTGCAGTGCCAGAGTCACATCCTTGGGAGGACCTGCAACAAATATCTCTGGGTGTTGGGGGGGGGCTGGCAGATGGAAGTGGGAAGCCCAGAGGTCACAATAAAGTCGCAGGGTAGATCCCATGACTGATGCCTGCACTAACCAAAACATTCAATGAGCACAAGGCCTCTATAGCTCTGGACCATTTTGCAGAGGCCTCACTTGGAGTACTGTGCACAGTTCTGGTGTCCTCAACATAAAAAGGACATGAAGCTGTTGGAGCAAGTCCAGAGGAGGCCACGAGGATGGTAAGAGGGCTGGAGCACCTCCCGTATGAAGACAGGCTGAGAAAGTTGGGGCTGTTCAGCCTGGAGAAGACTGTGTGGAGACCTCATAGCAGCCTTCCAGGATCTGAAGGGGGCCTATAAGGATGTTGGGGAGGGACTCATCGTTGTGGACTGTAGCAATAGGGCAAGGGGTAATGGGTTTAAACTCAAACAGGGGAAGTTTAGATTAGATATAAGGAAGAAATTCTTTACAGTGAGGGTGGTGAGGCACTGGAATAGGTTGCCCAAGGAAGTTGTGAATGCTCCATCCCTGGCAGTGTTCAAGGCCAGGTTGGACGGAGCCTTGGGTGACATGGTCTGGTGTGAGGCGTCCCTGCCACTTGCAGGGGGGTTGGAACTAGATGATCTTAAGGTCCTTTCCAACCCAAACCATTCTGTGATTCTATGTTCACTTTCTACTCCTTACTTGCCCCAGTGTGTAAAGACCTTACTGGCTGAAAAATGCAAGTGAGGCTCTATAGCACAGAAGTCATCATTTTGCAGTAAAATGAAAGCAAATTATTTACACAAAGAGATAATCCCTGGCAATCCTAACAAAGCAGGGAGCGGTTAATTTACTGCAAGAAAAATCAGCTTACCACCTAGTATTACAGCTCAGTGAACACTTAAAGCTGGCACCCGGGGGAGGAAAAAGCCTCCCTCCACACACTGGCACAGCATGTGCGGGGCTGAGCAGTGAACCAGACTGTGAGCAAACACTGCTGAAAAATATTGTTTCAGCTAGCTCAGTTCCTTGATGCACTTCACTGCACAGACGTGTGCTGGCACCAGAAAAGGGCAGTGCAGAGGTGATAACGTGTCCTTTAATGAGTGCCAGTTTAAAGAGGTGGCTGGACTCCGGCTGCAGTTAATCAAGTCCAGCAGACAGCCCAGTTCCATAGCCAGCCCCATGGTCTGCCCTGCATCCTGTGCCATGGAGTTCTGTTCACCCCTACTTCCCAAATGGTTTCAGGTCAGCACTTTCATTGATCTGCAGGGGTTGAACAGGCAGCGCTATAAATAATGAGCAGTTAATCAACTAAGTGCCCTTCTCACTGAAATAAAAACCACAGAAATGACGTCAAGATGGGGGGAGGAAGAACCCAAACAGCAAACCAGTGAGTGCTTACAAAGACGATCCAAGAGAGCGCTCCCTGGCACACACTCGAGGTTGAAGTGGCTCGGAGAGCAGCCATGCTGGCTGTTGAGTCACCCTCCAGCACTCCTGCGCTGACTCACTCCCTCCCTGCCAGCTGCCAGCGCACCCTGCGCAGTCCGTTCAGTACCAACAGCAGTTACTTGTTCAAGTGCATCCGATTCATCATGAGGCATCAAGCTTTTGCAAGTCCTCACAGCTCTGTCTCTCGCTGCCATTCTCTGCTGGCTAACCTGCTGCTGTTACCCCTGGGAAAGGGGTCAAAGAAGAGAGAAGCCTCCACCTTGAGTCCTTCTGAGTCTTCCCTCTGCTCCCAGCTGAGATAGACAGAAACACAATTTAACATGCAGGACTAAAGTAATGTGCAGCAATTGAGGCCACAAGGTCCTACAGGGTACCTCTGTGCAGAGGAAGCTACAAGAAGCATGTCCCTGCCTTCTCCCTGCTGCACTCTAGGGAGAAAGTTTGTGTTTTTCTTTTCCCTTCCCTAGACCTGGCTTGGGGATGCACCGTGCAGCCTGGCCCTTGCAAACGATGCTTTTTCCAGAGGAAGATGGTAGTCTCCCCCAAAACCTACAACAGGAAAGAAAAAGGTGTTTGTTAAACACCCTCCAGAGACACTTCAGTGCTGTGTTCCTTTCTCAGGCACTTGCTCTTCACAGAGAGGATCCCACACCCTGCAGACTTCGTAAGCTCCAAGTAAGGGACTTGCTCTTCTAGTTGTCCCTCCCACAGTATCTACACCTGGGGCAGAGCACTGTTATCTCCACCAGCTCTCAGAAACCATGTAAGATGCAAGACCTGGCAGACTTAGGATCTACTGAAAAGCTGTTCTAGGCATCCCATTACCTAACATCCCATGCCCGGAAGCAGGCCTGTTGCGTGACCAAATGCAACTGGAGCACCTGGGACACAAGCCAGCACAAACCCTTGACAAATGCCTGCCCTGCAACAGAAACTGCCCCACCACGTGGCCTCACATCCCAGGAATCCTCCAACCTGAGACACCAGACTAATGCTCAGGAAACCTTTCTCTAACTCCCCTGCTCCCCTGTGTTTCCTGTGTGACCTTGGTTGTTTCACCCCTGGTCTCCAGTTTTGGCTGTAGAACTGCCTTAAGCTCCTTCCTCCCACCTCCACAGGGTTAAATTGAGAGAGAAGCAACAGTGGCATAGGGCAAGAACAAAGAACTACTTTGAAAGCTGATCTCATTGCCATGGGGCTCAGGAAGGTACACCCTCATCTTCTTCAGCTGAGAGAGAGGGATATTACCACCTCCCTCTGTTACATGACATATGAGACAAAGGGTTAGGACAAACATGAAAGGTTATGAGATGCTCTGAAGATGAACCTTGCCACATCTTGGATTTGGTAGTGATAAACTCCTCCATTCCCCTGCTCTACTTGGTGAAATAGGTCAAATAGGTTAAAAATAAAGTTTAAAAAAAGCCTATGAAATCTGTTTGCAGTTTGACTTAGGCTCCACTTGCCAGTGGGCAAAAGCGCACCACTGAACAGCGTACAGAGTGAGGAGTTCTGTTACTGACCCAGTGCAGCTGAAGGCTGAAACTGTGGTATTTCAGAGCAGGCTCCCAGGAAGGGAAGCAAATAACAGATAATCAGACAACAGGCCAACAGTTACCAAATGGCCAAAATCAAAGAACAGCTTTTATTGGCCGAAGTAAACAAGAAACCATTTTCTTCCAATAAACAAAACAACCCCCTAACTGAAACAGTGGTAAATCTTTGCTAACAAAACAAGACACTAACAAACCCACATAAACTTTACTTTTCAATTTCCTCCGCTGGAAATACTCCTCCTAAAGAAATTACATTTGTCTCCTTACCCCCTGCTGTGCCAGCACAAGTAGAAGAATGGCAGAAGCCTAAATCATTTAGGACAAGAGAACAAACACATCGGGGGGTAGGAGTGTGTCCTTTTAGACAAAGGAAAAGAGGCTGTCGGTGTTTGCAAACACCTTACATGCAAAGTGTTTGAAACCAGTAATTCCCTCTTTTCTAAGAAACATTTTACAGGAACTATAGTTCCGGTGTGATTCTTTTTTAATCCCAGGACACAGGTTCAGTCATGGCCTATCCAGGCTGTTAAAACTCGGACTCTCCCTGCAGTTTATCTGTTAACACTTGTCTATTCAGAAATCATAGTGGATAAAAATAAAAATTGGTTACACCGAGTTCTCACGGCAAACGATCATACTAAAACTCATCATTTGCTCATGTCAGTAAAACAAACACCAGACAGGGAAAGCAGGTCCTTTGCTCTCCCTAGCAACAGAAGTCTTGGAGGAAGGGAAAAACCAAGAAAGAGAGAAAGAGAGAGAAAAAGAGATGTGTGCCCGGGGGCAACACACCTGTTCCAATGGAGAAATTCTCAGTAATATCTTCACTGATTTCTCAATTAATGGGGATACATTAACAGGAGCCATTAAAAAAAAAATCTGGTTAATAAAGAGTTATGTGAATCTGTCCAACTTACTGACGGAGTGAAAATTTAACAAAAAGGCAAAAAAACCAATCAGTGTCTTAAAAAAATGCATATCTATTTACACTGGTTTTTAAAGCATGACAAGTGTGTGCACTGAGCTGCGTGCTGTGCACACGTCTTCTGAGGTGGGTGAGCAGGGGCAGCTGAAGCACATCACTGCTGCAGCAGTGAAACAACACTATGGAACTAGGGAGAATGTATTTCAGCTCACGGGCGTTACTGACTGCTACTGCTGCTGTGCACAGAACAGCACCGTGTGTTTTGACAGAGGAACTCCACTGGAAAGGGAGAGCCTCCTGCCCTAATCTAGATATGAGTTTACAAAACATTTTCAGGATCTAACACCCGTACTACACCTTTTGTAAGAAAATAGAGAGCAGCTTTTAGCTGCAGTTCTTCTAAACTACTGTAGGAAGGCTTCACTAGCATGCTTCCTAAATTGGCAACCATCTGAGGTAATCGATGATGCTGTTAAAATGAGCACCCTTCATTTCTCTCCACCCACACCAGCTGTTGCATCCTTATTGAGTCCTCTGATAGACAAGTCATAAACCACTTCCTCGATTTTCTTGACGTCGTATTTCAGGCCATCGTAACGCTTCCTCAGGGAGTCATTCTTCAGGTTGAGGAGACGGAAGCCAGAATCCAGCTCGTTGATAAAAGTTGAGATGCGGAGAGGGCGAGAATAGTCGCCAGCCGTGACACTGTTGACTGCCAGCCTAGACTACGAGAGGACAACATGCAGGAGAACATCATCAGAGGAACCCACACAAATCAACATCCCTAATCCCATCACTTACTTTACCAAATGAAGCAGTTTTGTTCCAGGCAGTCAGATTATTTATCCTCAGATACACCTTTCTGTTGACCATGATTCTGGATTTTCAATCAAGTGACTAGTTCAAATCTTAAAATATCAGTGAGGAACCACTGGCACACAGAGAGGTGATTTGCTGGAAGTGAACTTCCAAGGCCTTGTATATCGTAACTTCCAGGAACAACTTGGAAAGGTTAGAAAACACGTTATTTTTCTAGGTCAGTTGCAATCCAAAGCTATGCATGAATATCTTCCTTACCAGCTCACTGGCGAGAGTTAATACACCAGAAAGATAGTCTTCAATGTCCAGGTGAAAGCCCCGCTCTCGATCAGCTTCAACTAAAATGAAAACCGGAGTAGTAATCAGGTGGTGTTGAACACAAGCAAACCAGCTAATTGAAACTGCATTTGTTCACTGAGCTCATTTGAATTATCAAGTCTATGAAATACTATTACAAAACAAAAGTCAGCCTTTCCCTGCATGTGATGTAATTACTGACTCTCCTCTGCATTCTGATGTAGGATAGTGTACATTCTCAGCTGGACATGCAACAGCTTGTAACTGATCCAACAATAACTGAATTTGCACCCATACACCACAGAGGGGTCTGGACTCCATTTTTAGAAATATATTCCTGGGTTTTTTTTGGTTTGGTTTGGTTATTTTTCTGGGTTTTTTTTCAAATCCTTTGCTCTGGGAGCACACAATTCTCTTCTGGAGTAAGAATTTTATCTGCTTTCCACACTTTTAAATGCTGAAAACAAAAAGTGAGAGAACCAAGCTTAATCTTTGCATTATTCTTTTGGTAGATTTATGCAATTTGAATTAATAATCTTCATGGAAGATTTCTTGGCAAAAATGAAGTTCTGGTGGTTCCCTGTACCTCTGAAAGCTACGCCTAAAATTGTCACAAGGCTTTTCTCTTCGTTACAACATTAACTTACTCCCAAGTATTTCTGCAACAGCTTCTCGGGTCACTAATGTTTCTGACTCCAAGTAGACTACAAATGCTGCCAGAAACACCAGCCGCTGCAGCACAAACCTCCAATGCTCATGAAATCTGTTGAAGAAAACATGAAGTCAACATACACATAAGTAACATCTACTACTGGAGAGTTAGGCAACAAGCATACCTTATGTATACATTATGTTTTCCACCTCTACACATAGCACTTTGTGATATTTCTGGCCTATCAAAACAACACCAGCTTAAAGGCATCTCCTTGGTGCTCCAGAACTTCACCCCAGGACACCAGGCTGGACGCTGGCATTCACTCATCCACCTCTCACACACCTACTTGGTTCATGGAGTTTTTCAGGTTGTCGTGCCCACAAGACAACCATCTTCCCTCCCATCTTCCCTCAGCAGATCTGAGCTGACAAGACTCGTTCTTTGAAACGTTCTTGCTAGACACTGTCCCCTTCTGGCAGCAGCAAAACACAGAGGTGACAACTTCATTTAGTATCTGCAGTATCAAACAGCCATTTCATGACAGATTTGGAGCAGTTTTCAGACATGCCCCAAGCCTAACAACTTAACTGAAACTAATGGAGCAGCAAATGCTCTGCTCCCAGAAACAGCTTCAATAGAACATCAATTCTTAAACTTCTGGCTTTCTTTTAAAAAAATGTTTCCAGAATAAGAATACTGGATGTATTTTTAGTGAAACATTATAAAGAGTGTTTGAGCAAAAGCATTTCTTATCTTTGCTGATAAAAACCTCACAGTCCTCTACCACATTTTGTTTTTCAAACAGAAAGAAGCATTCAGACCATAAACCTTTAAATCATTCTTCCATAGTAATGAGGCCAACTATGCCCAGGCAATTCCCATTTCCATGTCTGGCTGTGTGTGATCCTGCACAC